GGGATCTAACAGTCATTTGGGTTTGAATCCCTTCTCCCTATCCCTACTCACTAAAGGATCAGTAGGCCCCAATACCCAGGAAGATCATACTAGCCAGGGGTCGGAGAGAGTGAGAGGCAGGGAAGACTAGGAGATCTCATGGGGTCAGCGTCTATTCTATCCTACAATTGTCCTACTTTGACCTTGGCATTCCTGTAGTCCAGCAAATGGTCCTTCACTGTTCTGCCATTTCCCCTGTGGCTCTTTTTACTTCAAGACCAGATCAACTCATAACTTACTTTCATGCATGATGAAACCACCAACCTAATTTACTACCCATGAACACCAAGTATTCCCATTCTTATGATCCTATTACCTGCTGCATAAATATCTACCAGAGACTGCCCCCTACTGCTTGCCCTTTCAATGTAGCTATTTGGCTTCCATTAGGTATCAGCCTCAAGGTATAAATTATTTCAAGAATATTTCACAATGTCAAGTAAAGAACACAGACCATAGGCACACACACATGCTATTCTCTCCTATGTATTAAACAAGTATCATTGCCTATTGTTTTGTATTTACAATACATGTGTCCATATAAAAATATGAAAACATGTTCTTACAAGTATTCTATTGACTCTGAAAATTGCAAATGGAGGTACATAATAATAAACATTACAAGCATAATTGGGAGGATAAACTTAAATAGTTCATAGAAATTTATTTTATATCTTTGTCAAGAGTGGTCTTCTCTATATATTTTCTGCAGTTGTTTCAGGAAAGACATATACCCAGATTTTAAGAAATGATCTTTCTTAAATGCCAGCATTGCTGAAATGAAAATAATTTTACTGGACTATCAGCAAAATCTCTGTTCTCTGGGGTTTTTGATTATTTCTTTTTGTGAAAATAAAAAGGTATCAGTATATGCAAAAGAAACAGTGAAAGAAATGTGGAAACAGAGTTGCAGGTGCATTATTTAAATGAGGCCAACCTCTAGAAATATAGTTGATAATGGACATAAGATATTCATTTTTCAACAAATGCTTAAAACATTTTTAGCCAAATAGTGTGCTCAATGGACTAAGCATCTCCTACCTCATTTACTTGAATAAAGATGTAACAGAGGAACTTCAGAAAGATAATGATTTTAGAGTGACATACAGAAAAGGCAGAAAAAAATCCTCAATGGAAAATAACTTATACAAAGAAAGATGACACCAGCAAAATTAGCATAGCTGTTTTCCCAATTTAAGAAGCAAAGCCAATGAAATTCTCAATTTACTTGAATACATGGGTAAAGAATTGAGAATCAAATATCAAAAATTCCATTGGAAAATTAGGTGGGGGCAAAAAAAACCTACTACCTTATTTAATTTTTTTCCTCTACTTTTTTATTAAGATACTTTGCTTTTTTTCTGATCAAGTAAATATGCACATTCTTAAACAATGATAAAAAATGAAACTATTATCTCTTAATTATGAAATAAAATTAACCATATGATAGGTGAAGTGTTAAAGAATTTGTATTATTTTCAAAGAAAAAAACTGAAAGAAAAATAGTGACATATATTACAGTAAAATCTACATGGGTTTAACTGTAATGATCTAGAAAGAATAGTTTATAAAAAAAAATTATTCACAAAACAGTACAGGTGAAGATCTTACAGTGCTAAGCAGCATAACAAATAGTCTGGGGAATTTGTCTTCCAGGATCAACAAGACAATTTCCTCGAGACTCTAAATAGCTTTTTGTTTACTCATCAGGCATTTCCTGCCATACGATAAAATTGTCCTGTTAAGAATTCTAATGTATTTTTTGAATAAACAGGAAAAAACTGAAGTGTTTGAAATGTGAAGAATATATATTATGAATAGATTCTCAGAGCTGTTCATTTCTTAGATCTATGATTCAAAGCCAGGAATATAAGTGACAAGAGCATTGCTACTGTTTCAGAACAAATAGGATAGCTAGAACTTTGAACCAGACGGATGAATAATTGAAAGAGAAGATAGGTATTTGGCCCAAGCATGTTGTCTCTTGAAAATTGGCCACACCTCCATGTCTGACTAATAGCCTCTACTCCAATTTTCTGCTTCCTTCAGATTTCCCCTTTCTCCAGGATGCAAATAAGGCTTTATATGTGTTTCAAAATATGTTGACTCACTAACAAATCGGCATTTTTTCAGAAGTCTGCTAAAAAGAGGGAAAAATGAAGAAGTTCTTTTAAAAATGAAAGATGAATAGATGAAGGCTCAAGTAGCAAGAGTTACAATCAGTAAATCAAGAGTTACCTAGGCCTATATCTGACAGCATCTGGGAACTGTCCAGGAAAAAAGTATATACTTTTTTAAATTTAAATTTTATTTACTTTCTGTATTTTATTTTATTTCATATATTATATACATACATAAATTTATTGGTGTTACCACAGAAGTTTCCTGAGTTTTAACATTGAGTCTATTTCTAAATAACTGGGAAAATACAAAATCTGGTCCTTAACTTACAGCACATTCTAGCTATATTTTTAACAAAAATCAAGTTTTTTTTAAAAAAAAGAACTATATCAAAATCCAGAAGACTGATAACACTAAATGATAGTAAGGAAGTGAAGTAATAGGAACTCTCATACACTGCTGGCAGGAATACAGAATGGCACAGCCACTTTAGAAGATAGTTTGGCAATTTCTCACAAAACTAAACATACTATTACCATAAGATCCAGCAATTATGCTCCTTGTATTTACCCAATAGTGTTGAAAAGTTATGTCTACACAAAAACTTGCACACAGATGTTTATAGCAGTTTTATTCATAATTGCCAAAAGTTGGAAGCAATAAAATGTCCTTTGGTAGATGAATGGACAAATAAACTGGGACATATCCAGACAATGGAATATTATTCAGCATTAAAAAGAAATGAGCTGTCAAGCCATGGAAAGATATAGGAGAAACTTAAATGCTTATTACTAAGTAAAAGAAGCCAGTCTGAAAGGGCCACATACTGTGTGATTCCAACTATCTGACATTCTGAAGAAAGTAAAACTGTTGAGACAGTAAGAAGATCAGTGGTTTCCAGAGTTGGTGCGGGGAGGGGGGAGATAAATTGATAGAGCACAAAGGATTTTAGGGCAGTGAAAACATTCCATATGTGTGATACTATAAAGATGGAAAAAGTCATTAAACATTATTCAAACCCATAGAATGTACGCCACCAGGAATAAACCCTAATGTAAACTATGGATTTAGGATGATGATGACATATCAATGGAAGTTCATTAACTATAACAAATGTACCACTGGCAGGTAATGTTGAAAATGGAGGAGGTTCTATGTTTGTCAAGGGAAAATCTCTGTACCTTCTGTTCAATTTTGCTGTGAACCTAAAACTGCTCTAAAAATAGTCTACTAAAAAAAGAAAACAACTAAATAAAAAATAATATATATGTAATGTAACTATCTCAGTAAGTTATGCTTCAAAACATAATATTTTTGAGCAGACTGTACATTTGAAACCTATTTAATTACATTATGACAATGTATATTTCTAAAATAAATGGGACTTGGAAACATCAAAAACTATAGGTATACCTCATTTTATTGTGCTTCACTTTATTGAGCTTCACAGATACTGCATATTTTACAAATTTTGAAAAAAATTATAAAAGGTTGGTAGCAACCCTGCATCAAGTAAATCTATTGGTGCCATTTTTACAACAGCATTTGCTCATTTTGGTAATGAGTGTTACATTTTGTGTGTTTCTGTTTCTCTGTGTTACATTCTGGTAATTCTTACAACATTTCAAGCTTGTTCATTATTGTTATATTTGTTATGTTGATCTGTAAGAATTGATCTTTAACATTACTATTGTAATTATTGGTGGTACCACAAATGACACCCACATAAATAGCAAACTTAATTGATAAATGCTGTACATGTTCTGATTGCTCCACTTATGGGTTGTTCTCTTCAAACCAAATAATTCATTTGACTTGTTTTATTGCAATATTCACCTTATTGCAGTGGTCTGAAACTGAACCTGAGATATCTCTAAGCTATGACTGTATAGATAGTGAATATATATATTTCAGTTTGCCCATAACTTTATAATAATATGTTAAGATTTAAGGATTTAGATACTAAAATGTATACAGTCTCTGTATATGAAGGTGAACATGTACATGTATGATTCTATAAAACTTTATCACAAATAAAAAGTAAAGATATTGGTAAACTTTCAACATATTTCAGAACCATGAAAGGGGAAAAAAAACCTCTCTAAATATTTCCTATGAACCATATTTTTACCCTCTTTAAATACCATTTTGTAGTTAACTCCCTAATGGCATTTTGCAGTCATCCCAGATGCAAGCATAAAGCAATTTCCACTCACCAGATAAGTAGCAGAACAGAGTCAGAGTGCATATTTTTAATTCATCTTTGGATGAAGTTACAAATTTCTACCTGTGATAGATCTTTAAAATTGCTTAAGCAAGTTTTGTTTCACTTTTTGTACTTTAATTAGAAGTTGCTTAGAAGTAAAGTTAAATTCTCAAATGCCAAGCCTCCCCAAAATAAAGACGGAAGAGTAAGGGGATATTTTTGAATGAGGCTGAAAGAACCATGCAAATGCCATGAAAGAAGACAAAGGAAAAACTCTACATGCACCAAGTATTCAGCTGAAGGTATAGACAATTAGACACATGGATTTCAACAAATATTGCATAGCACCAAAATCCAGTCACTGTTAGAATGAGTCGTGGGCACCAGGTTGAGAGGTGTGATTCTATTACCACCAAACCATATATCCTTGGATAGTGAACTGACCGGCCCCAGAGTTCAGATTCTTATAAATCGGGGAAAATAACATTTACTTTATAGACTGAATTTTGTTATTGAACAGTGTTCACAAAAGTTTGTAAAATATAGAATGATATAAGTAATATGCCTAAGGTTGCAAAGTAGATACACAAATTACTATTATATTTACTGATACAAATAAGATGGAATTCCTTACCAAGGATGAATTCCAACTGTGGTTCATTTGGAGTCTTCTGAATACCTATAAATAATAGGTATGGATTCAGATTAGAGATATTCAACTCATTATCAAAAATATGTTAGTGTGCATCACTATGTTTCAACCTGCCTAGAATGTCTAAATAAATTAGCTGATGGAACAAATAAACTCAGTTAATCATCCACACTCATAGACAGTTGGTTCTCAGAGTTCTCAGAGCAGAACTAGATATGACTAAAGATTTTATTGATCTGTTTGGCTCCCTGGCCATAAAGAAACTCAGAAATACTGTTTTTGTAAGCTGTGACAAATACAAAACATATTTTTCAAGTGTTTCTGTTTCTTTGAGATATAATGCAGACAGAGGTAGAAGCTTCAGACAGGATGCCCTCACTAAAGTATGCTGTTATTTAGATTCTTCGCTCAGACCAATTCAACTTCTGTAAATAGTAAGTTGTTAATTAAGGGGATATCTTTGGTTTGGTTATACAGGACATTAGAGTGGTGGTTATTCTACCAACTTATTGATAGCTCAAATCAACCTTCAGGTAAGTGTTTCTATTCCTTTTTTGGTAATTTTCAAAAAATCAGTTAACATGATAAATGATTTAGAATGAAGTGTGAAGAAAGTGAGCCTGAAAATGAAGGTAAGGCTAGAAAGTAGGAGGATCAGCCTGTGGTGAGTGATGACGTGGAGGTGACGCCTGAAGACCCTGAACAGCACAGGGGCTTCCTGAACAAGGGTGGGTGAGGACTGGGATGGTGTTTGCGACTATTCATGGGTGGCCAAAGAAGCAAAACCAAAGTTTATAGAAAAGTGAACTGCTTGGCAATAAATGTAAGAGTACTCTAAAAGCCCTTTCCTTGTTAATTTTTATTGGTGCATTCATCAGATATAATTTAAATTTACAGTATTTGGTCACTAATGTTAGAATCACTTCTCTGTATAAAAATAATCTGTTTTTCTATTTACAGACTTCACATTTATTTGCATGGTAACCATTTATTATTTTCTCCTACTGACATTTCAAAATACTCTAGGTAACCATTTTATACTTTCCAAGTGGTTAGAATGACAATCATTAAGTAGGTCTTTGTTAATTTCAAATAGTGTGGATTTTTAAAAATGTTATTAACTCTATTGTAAGCTTTGACAACCAAATTTCTCAAATCACCCATCCAACTAATGCAGCTTCCTAAAGATTATTTTTATAATGTAAATTAAATGAGAGGTTAGGAATATGCTTGCCAGTGCTAAATAACTGGACAACTGGACTCTTCAAAAAATAAAAGACACAATTCATGCTAAACAATAAACACCCAAACTCTCGAATTTTAACCATGAGAGAAAACATACAATTCTTCCAATGATTTTAATTATTTGAATAGCACAAAAACCAATCTTAATGTTGAAATGCGGATCTCGGCCAAATCCCCAGGCTGTTGTGCTGGTGAGATTAGGTGCTGTTAGCATGGCAGCGGCAGCCCAGGTGTCCAGTGTGACTGCTTTGCCCTGACGCTTTGAATTCAAATGTCTTTGGTTTGAAAAGGAAAATATTTAATGTTCCAAAAAATAACTCCTCATGAGATTATATAAATGCCAAATAGAAAGTGTACTTAGAAGTATTTTTTAGTGTCTAAATACACATTCAAGACCTTTGATTCTACTATTTGATATTTAAGCATTTCACGGACTATCATCTATCTCACTCAAGATAAAAGATGAGAGACATATTCCAGACTCAAAACACCAAAATAAATAGTGCAAATGAAAAATATTAGTCAATTTGTTAGGATCCAAGTTTTTGTGACTACATATGAATGTTTATAGTTGACCTAATTTGCATTTTCAGAGTTACAAAGAGGAGAACACACATACTTACTTGTGAACTGAGAGTCCCCAGTATCACTTGCCTGGGGTGTGGGAAGAAAGTGCTGGCCTTCTTCTGATGCTCCTTCCTCTTTGATTTCCATGATCAACCCTTATAGTTGTTTAATCTTCCAAGATTTTGCACCCCAATGTCAGTGACAGTTATTCCTGGTTTAATATAGATGTATCTTCACACTATAGACCTGATATCTGACTCTGTGAAGTTCTGCATTTAGGAAACAGCAACAGCAAAGATTATGGTTACTTCAGAGTTCAGTATAAAACTAAGAATTAAAGGTAGGTAGAGACTACATCTACCTTCATATGGACTTCTTCCTTGTATTTTCAGGACAAATCCACCTGGTTAACATACCATTGATTCTGGATTAAATGGATATTCTCTATGCAATTATTTTATGACTATGTGAGGGACTTCCAAATTCTGAAAGATATATTCTTTCTCTTCTAGCTCATCTGTAAAATAGCAGATAGTCATAAAGGATACTAACTTAATATGCATCTAATTTAGCAATAAGAGCAAATAGCAACTTGTGAAAGCATTATTATGTTTTGCCAGGGTAAATATTACTGTTATTCCTTCCATTACAACTGCCCTTTATGTACATCTTTTAATCCACCCTTGTTAGAATAGTATTCATGAATACATAAACATAATCTGGCATGGCAATCTTCTCCCAAAATGAGCCAAAACGTTGTACAGGTGAGTTTCCAACCTCATCTTTATCCATAGAGTCTCTTGTTATCCTGCCTGTTAAAGGTTTAATTATTTAATGATCAGGGTATATGTTGAAAAGAATGAGTAAAAATTCTAAAAAGCTAAAGCTCAAAGGGAAATGAAAGCAACAAAAAACAGTAAAAGTTCACTTGAGGGAAAAAAAGCCTCTCCAGGAATTTAATACCCTGCTACACAGACAGTCACATACAGCTCTAAATTCATTTTGGCATTTAGCATGATATACATGACCAAAAATGAATGAGAAAAAAAAATCAATGTTGTTTTAAATTAAGTTACCACCTGAATTAAAATGTATACAAAAATCTTTAAATACCTACCCAGTGATGTTTAATGAAATAGCAGCTATCAAGTTTGGTTTGGAATACTAATTTGGTCTTCAACTTCACAAATTTTCAGCCTCAGTCTTTGTCATCTTAACAAAGCAGCTTCATTCAGCTCTAGTTTTTAATAATCAACTGGCAAAAATTAAATCCAGGAAGCATCTTGAATCTTTAGAAAATATTACAATTATAAAGTTGCAAATAAATACACATTGACTTCTAAGGAAACTACCAGGAAAACTTTCTGGGATAATGGGCCATTGCATAACCAATTAGACCAAATCCATCAATTTGGAAATTATATTTTGAATTGAGGTAATGCTTTGTAATTTCTTTTGACTGTTTAATTTTGGAAGTCTTTTCTAGTAAAGACACATACATATTCATTGAAGCACATTCTCTCCAGAGCCTATGAGAAATGCATGAGCATTAGTAGGATAGTATCTGTGGAAGACTATGCATGTGAGACTTGAATACAAGGACTTTGTTAACTGCATTATACTTTTTGACCAAAGATTCAACCCCTTATATTGATCAGTCAGTTGAAACAGTGAAAAGGAGGCCTAAATAGGTCAATATGGGTGAATCCTAGGAAAATAGCAATTCAGGACACTAATAATGAATAATAAAATAAATGTCAACTCTGTGTGTGGATGTATGTGCACTTGTGCAATTTGGAGGTGAATGGAAAAGACCAAAGTAGGATGCCTACCAAAACTCATGGGCATGGTCCCATTTTAAGCATATCACCCATTTAAAGCTGACAAATAAATCCACTTGTAGAATAAAATGAGCCAAATATACAAAAAAAAAAGATTAGATAATTCTATTCATTTTCATGCTACCTTTGTTGCACTTGAGGACAATTCAGATTTGATACTTTTTACCAAGGTACATACCTCAGAAGGGATCAGTTGCATTACCAGCAAAGCTCTAGAAAACCTTGCATTTGTAGCTGGTAAATATAGCATTTACCTATGATTACAGCTAGGTACACTAGTTCCTTTTCTGTGTCTATTTGGAATTTTTTTGGTTTGGAGATCATCCACAAAATAACATACCACAAGATATTTACATACCACAAACATAGTTAAAACAGACAGCTAGAGAGATCAAAATTAATTCTTAGAACAGAAAGAACCTTAAGCAGGAAAGTTTACTGGGTATCAAAGTAAAGAAAGTACTAGAAGGTACAAACTTGATGAGGAAACCAACTTGTTTGGAGGTTATTTTAATATTCTAGAAAAATAAAACAATGAAGAAGATCTAAGTCAGAATAGAAGCTGGTGACTAGAGAAGAGACTCTGTATTCCATAGAAAATTATCAAGTGGAATTACCTAGTTTTGGTGATGGAATTAGATGTTATATTAAAGTTGAGATGATGAAAAATGGGAATTTCAGGTGCAACCCAGTAAATTAAGGACCACTGAACTATCTGAGAAATAAAAAAGGAGGAATTTTAGTCAAGGATAATGAGTTTAGTTTTAACCATGTTGTTTCTGAGATAGATGCCTTAAGATACACTCAGAAAGCAGTCGAAGCATAGGAGTAGTTCTCAGAAGAGATATTACAGCTGGACAAATATGTTTTTGGAAATTGTTGGCTGATGGTTGAAGTCTAAGGAATGCATGAAGTCACTGAAAGCAAGTGCACATCATGAGATGAAGGGATGACAGAAGAGTCAACATTAAGTGATAAATTTGTTTAAGGGAGCAAGAGAAGTTAGCTGGAAAAGGTACCAGCAGTTTAGTCAGGAGGAACAGCAAAAAGGAACAATTGAGGGAACAGTGTCATCACTCCATTTAACTGGGTGTTCCTCAAATAAGTAGGATCACTGGGTTAAGAGGCAGCTTTACAAGGTTGAGCACAGCTCCTAGGCTCTTCCACTCAGAAAGATTCCTTAAGAAATTAAGAGTAGCCTCAAGAGGCCCTTCCCCTTCCTGTCGAGACTGGGAAGCTGAGAAATAGCCTTACCCACTGTGGAGAGTGTCTTCTAGCCCCATTTGACCAGAAGGGCTAGCAGCAACTCCTAGAGGCTATATGACCTACTGGCACTTGAGTTAGGAGGTAGGCAGGACTGATAATTTACATAATGAAGCCAGTGGCTCTGTTCAGTCAGGAACTTGGGATGGTGGTCAGCTTCAGTTAAGGCAACACAGAGCTTTACTGTTTTTACTTCACTCTTCCATTGCTTGCAGGCAGGGGTTCTAATTTGTAGCCCCCCTCATCACTAAGTGCAGCTGTCAGCCTGTGCTCTCAGGAAACCTAACCAGAGTGCACAAGAAGTTGTACAGTACATTCAACAACTCTATATACAGTTTTACTTGGACAGAGAGAATAGCCTGTGCCTTTTCCTGTCTGTAGAGCAAGACCAGTGGCCTCACCTGATCAGGGAATTTAGTGTACGCTCTGGCCTGATTCAGGTCCCCAAACAATGAGTTGTATAGACCCTGGGTCTAGTTCTACTATCCTGCCAGCAGGTGAGTTAATTCATAGCTCCATCTACTACTAAATATAGTTACCCAGCTCAGACCATCTAGTAAGCCTGACCAGAGAATCCAAGCAACAAAGCCCATCCCTACAGCGTCACTTGGGTAGGGAACAAAGCCAGCAATTCTATCCAACTGTTCTCAGCCAATGGCACACCCCATTCCATTCCCATCCTCAGAGTTTGACCAAAGACATTGGTCACACCAGATACCTAAATTGAGGTGACTGGTGAAGAACTGTCTCTGCCAAAACAAACCTAGAAAGTCTGGAATTGGAGCCCAATTACCCAAATGCACAAATACAAACATAAGGAAGCAAGGATCATGAAAAATCAGGTAAGTATGATACTACCAAAGGAAATTTAAAAAGCTCCAAAAAATGACCCTAAAGAAATGGAGATCTAGAAATTTTCGAAGAAATCAGAATAATCCTCTAAGAAACATTAGTGAACCAAGAAAGCACAGACAACTAAATGAAATTAGTAAACAATGTATGAATAAAATGAGAAGTTTGATAATGAAATGACCATCAAATAAAACAAACAAAAAAAATAGAAAAAAAACCCCACAGAAATTCTACAATTGGAAAATACAATAACTGAACCTAGCATTCAATAGTTTCAAAAAAAGACTCAACCATGCAGAAGAAAGAATCAGCAGTCTTGAGAAAAGACATTGGAAATTACTCAGAGGATCAAAAGAAAAAAAGAATAAGAGGGAATAAAGCCTAAAAGATTTATGAAACACAATGAAAAGAAACAATATTTGCATTATGGTAATTTCAGAGGAGAAAAGAAAGAAAAACGGACAGAAAGAATCTTAGAGCAATAATGGCTGAAAACTTCCTGAACCTGGAGAGAAAAATGAACTACAGATCCATAAAGACCAAAGGATCCCAAATGGGTGAAACCTGAATAGGACTACAATGAAACACATTATAAATAAACTAACGAAAGTCAAAGGCAAAGAAATAATTTTCAGAGCAGCAAGAAAAAAAGAGCAATTATGTAAGGAATTCCCATAGAACTATTAACAGATTTTCAACAGAAACTTTTCAGGCCAGGAAAAAATGTAATGATATATTCAAAATATTGAAAGAAAATAACTGCCAACCAAGAATTCTATACTCAGCAAAGCTTTCCTTCAGAAATGGAGGAGGGATTAAGGCTTTCCTGACCAAAAAAAAAAATCTAAGTTTATCATTATCAGACCTGCCTTACAAGAAATACTAATGGAAGTTCTTTGATTAGAAGTAAAAGAACACTAATTAACATCATGAAAGCATAAAACGGTAATGTAAATCTCATTTATAATGGTAAATATGTAATCATAGATCAATTGTGTAATATGGTAATAGTGGTGCATAATTCATTTACAACTCTACTTAGAAAGTTAAAAAAGCAGTAAAAATAACTCTAACTATAATATCTGTTACTTGTTATGCAATACAAAAAACATGTAAGTTGTAACATCAATAACCTGAAATGTGAGGGGAAGAATATGTAAAAGAGTAAAGTTTACAAATTCTATTGAAGTTGTCAGTTTAAAATAAGATATAAGTTTAAGATATTTTATGAAAGCCACATATTACCCACAAGGGAAAACCCTGTAGTAATTACATAAACTAACATGACAAAGAAAGGTCAAAGCAACTGACTC